CTCCTCCCTGCTCCCTCCGCCTCCTCACTGTCGCTCTTCGTTCCCGAGCGTCCCGTGGTGCCGGGTCCTCGCTTCGAGCCAGCAGCGCCCCCGTTCAGGCAGTGGCGAAGCGTCCTGGCTCGCCTGTAGGCCTACCAAACAGTGGTCTAAGAACCTTTTTGTGGTCTCCACGAAATGTTCTTCGAACATTTCTGGCAGAGTCTGTCTTGTTTATCGGGGATGGACAGACCTCCTACCCTGACACGTCGATTCAGGAATTGGCCGTTTTCGGTTCGCGAGAGGTCGTCGCGGCCGTCATTTTTGCGGGTCCAGGTCCGTCGGTTTCGGTCCCAGGCCGCCTTCACTAAGGGGAGGTTTACTAAAGGGAGGTTTGTCCACCGCCGAGTTTAATCACATCGGGTCTATGTTCTAAGAACATTGCTTTTGTTCTTAGAACAGTTTTGGGGTTCTAAGAACATTTCGTGGTAGGACTAGAGGAATGCCGGGGCGGTCGGTCCCTGCTCAAACCGTGCCTCCTACCCTGACACGTCGATTAAGGAATTGGCTGTTTTCGGTTCGCGAGAGGTCGTCGCGGCCGTCATTTTTGCGGGTCCAGGTCCGTCGGTTTCGGTCCCAGGCCGCCTTCACTAAAGGGAGGTTTACTAAACGGAGGTTTGTCCACCGCCGAGTTTAATCACATCGGGTCTATGTTCTAAGAACATTGCTTTTGTTCTTAGAACAGTTTTGGGGTTCTAAGAACATTTCGTGGTAGGACTAGAGGAATGCCGGGGCGGTCGGTCCCTGCTCAAACCGTGCCTCCTACCCTGACACGTCGATTAAGGAATTGGCTGTTTTCGGTTCGCGAGAGGTCGTCGCGGCCGTCATTTTTGCGGGTCCAGGTCCGTCGGTTTCGGTCCCAGGCCGCCTTCACTAAAGGGAGGTTTACTAAAGGGAGGTTTGTCCACCGCCGAGTTTAATCACATCGGGTCTATGTTCTAAGAACATTGCTTTTGTTCTTAGAACAGTTTTGGGGTTCTAAGAACATTTCGTGGTAGGACTAGAGGAATGCCGGGGCGGTCGGTCCCTGCTCAAACCGTGCCTCCTACCCTGACACGTCGATTAAGGAATTGGCTGTTTTCGGTTCGCGAGAGGTCGTCGCGGCCGTCATTTTTGCGGGTCCAGGTCCGTCGGTTTCGGTCCCAGGCCGCCTTCACTAAAGGGAGGTTTACTAAAGGGAGGTTTGTCCACCGCCGAGTTTAATCACATCGGGTCTATGTTCTAAGAACATTGCTTTTGTTCTTAGAACAGTTTTGGGGTTCTAAGAACATTTCGTGGTAGGACTAGAGGAATGCCGGGGCGGTCGGTCCCTGCTCAAACCGTGCCTCCTACCCTGACACGTCGATTAAGGAATTGGCTGTTTTCGGTTCGCGAGAGGTCGTCGCGGCCGTCATTTTTGCGGGTCCAGGTCCGTCGGTTTCGGTCCCAGGCCGCCTTCACTAAAGGGAGGTTTACTAAAGGGAGGTTTGTCCACCGCCGAGTTTAATCACATCGGGTCTATGTTCTAAGAACATTGCTTTTGTTCTCAGAACATTTTTGGGGTTCTAAGAACATTTTGTGGTAGGACTAGAGGAATGCCGGGGCGGTCGGTCCCTGCTCAAACCGTGCCTCCTCCCGCCCGCTGCCCCCTCCCACTGCTTCCTCCTCGTCGCCTCGGCACCCTCCCAGCAACGCTCCGTGGCCCCGCAGGGAGCTCCACAGGAGGCCAGTGGCAGTGCAGTCGGGGCGCTGAAGAAGGGACCCTTTTCGATGGGGAGGGGCTCGGTGTTCCTCGATTGTGCTACAGCTTGCCTCAGGTTTTCATGAGGTTTTCCATGGGAGATCGAGGTGTAACTTATGGGAAGAAGGGGCCTCGTTCCTTATGTTGGGTTCCTCAGGTCAAGGCCCCGACTGTGTTCGCATGAGTTCCCGCCTTTCATTTCGGCACACCCCTCACACGCTTCCTGTCGGCGACAACAATGGGTGTGGTTACGCCGGGGTGTGGTTCGCGATCTGCGCCGTTGGGGCTCAGGGGTCACCTCGTTGCGCCAGAGATTTGATGAGTCCTCGTCGGGGCGCGGCAGAGATCTCTGTCGAGTTCGTCGCCCGCCTCCCACCCCCCCGGCGTGGGTTGCAAATCACACCCTGTGCACACCACGCCCTTCGGGGTCGCCGATCCTGGCTTTTCTCCTCCCTGCTCCCTCTGCCTCCTCCCTCCTCCGCCTCCTCCTCGAGATTGTTTTCGTTGCTATCCTCTGGCGCGTAGCGGTCGTTACCCGGGCCCCCCCTTGGGGTAACTGTAACGATCGTCCGTGAAGGGGGGGGGGGGGGCGTGCGGGGGGGGGTAATGTGGCGATCGCAGCGCACCCTCTCCAAAGCGTTACCGATACCCGGGTCCCCCACTCCCCCACGAAGGTGACGACAGTACCAGAAATAGTAAGAAAACAACGGACAGCTAGCCTCTTGGCCCCCCGCCAGCCCCACGCCAAGGGGCGAGCATATATACGGGCGCAGAACCGCGCTGGATGCGTAGCCTTCGGCTGGACCAGGCATGGCCCCTTGGGGTAAAACTGGCAGCGCAATATCCTCGCACCCTTCGCTAAAACTGCCAGTGAACTATCCTCAACCCCCTGGCTCAAAACTGCCAGCGCAGAATCCTCACCGCTCTCGCTTAAAACTGCCAGTGAAGTATTCCCACGCCCCTCGCTCAGAACTACCAGCGAAATAACCTCACGCCCCTGGCCAGCGAAATATCCTCACCCCCTCTGACTCAAACCTGCCAGCGAACGCTATCCACCCCGCGACCCACCCGCGACCCACCCGCAACCCACCCGCGACCGGTCCAGATTGATTTGAAGAAAAAATCGGCGCTTGCGGCGGGCTCGTTGTATAATTTGTGAAACGTTGGCGCCTGCGGCGGGCTTCTCCCGCAGACTGCCGACGTCCTCACCGCCACCTCACTCTTATCCGCATCTGCGAGGTGCGACGTATCCCCACCGCCTTCGCTTAAAACTGCCAGCGACATATGCTCATACCCCTCGCTTAAAACTGCCAGCGACAATCCTCACCACCTTGGCCTAAAACTGCTAGCGAAATATCCTAACCGCCCTGACTTAAAGCTGCCAGCGAAACATCCTCACCCCTGGCTTAAACCTGCCAGCGAAATATCCTCAACTCCCTGGCCTACAACAGCCAGCGAAATGTCCTCAGCCCCAGAAGTAAAGTTGCCATCTAACGGCATTGGTGATTCAGTTGTCAGTTCTGACAGTCAGTCAGTCAGCCAGCCAGTCAGTCAGTCTATTTCCCGAAAATCTAATTTCGGGCTGCGCCTGTAAAACTTATGATCTTGGTGAATGACCCAACCGTATGCAGTTCTGAGTGCCGTCGTTGCGGGTATCTCCTTCGGGGGATTTTCCCATGAGGCCACGAAGCGCTGTGCTGGGTGGGGGAGGCGCATGCGAACAGCACCACTGGGACCTTCGCTGGAGCTCCCTATGGGGCAACGAAGCGCTGTACTGGGTGGAGGAGACGCGTGCGAACATAGCCAGTAGGGCCTTCGGTGGAGCTCCCTACGGGGCCACGAACCGTTGTACTGAGTGGGGGAGACGCATGCGAACACCGACTCTGGGGCATTCGGTGGAGCTCCCAATGGGGCCGAAATGCGCTATACTGGGTGGGGGAGGCGCATGCGAACACCGCCACTGAGGCCTTGGGTGCCTATGGTGCCACGAATCGCTGTACTGGGGGGGGGCATGCGATCACCGCCACTGGGGCCTTGGGTGGAGCTCCCCATGGGACAACGTAGCGCTGTACTCGTTGTATGTAGTAGGGGAGACGCATGCGAACACCGCCACTGTGGCCTTCGGTGGATCTCCCTTTGAGGCCACAACACGCTGAATTGGGTGGAGGCGACGCATGCGAACACCGCCATTGGGGCCTTCGGTGGAGCTCCCCATGTTGCCACGAAAAGTTGTAATGGGTGGGGGACACGCATGCAAACACCGCCTCTGGGGATTCGGTGGAGCTCCCAATGGGGCCACGAAACGCCGTACTGGGTGGGGGAGATACGTACGAACACCGCCATTGTGGCCTTCGGTGGAGCTCCCCTTGAGGCCACGAA